ATTTAAACACTGGTGAAATATGCACATAAGTTTTTAATAAGATTCGATATAATTTTTTATTTTCTTAGTTTGAATATTCGCTATATTCATTGTTACATTTTAACAAACTGTAAATAATGTTTTCAATATACAATGTCGCATTTGCCTTTTCCGCCTATATTTGTTCACTATCGCCATTTCTTATCGAGTATACCAACCGAAATAATATATCTCCGATTTCTAATCACGTAGACTGACCATTCAAAACTTTTTAACTACGTACAATAATTTAATCGATCCGCTTTTCATTTGACCATCTGTTACCAAAATTATTCGATCATTTTTATCGATCATTAAATTTGACCCACTTGTAAAAATGTTTACAGCTCACTATATTTTCATCATTCATACACGTGTGTGCAATAAATGATTATGGTGCTCAGTAAAAAGGGGCATTCTAAAAATTTTAATTAAGCAGAGCATTTTAAAATAAATATACATTTATTTTCCTTTACATTTACATTAAAATCGAGAATAATATTAAATTAATTACGCATAATATCTTCATAATTTAAAATTTTGATTTTAGTGGTCGATATAAATTTAAAAAAGAATTCTGATTATATCATTCGTGACTGTAAAAAAATAATATTTAAACAACACTTTCATTTATAGAATAGTATATGTATGACATAAATTTGTAGCAGTCGAGTAATGTTAGCTGAGGAAAGCAGATATGATACTGGCAAGACTGACTATTACTTGACATGGGTGTGATAGTAATAGCATCGGTTAATAGTAATAGGAGCTAAGTAGAGGATAAAGAAATGAAGTTACTAATAGTAACAATAACACGTATTTATTTTACTACGAGTATATTAGTGCAGTGGCTATTTGTTTTCATCGAATTAAATATGAACGTGCCAGGATTTCATAAATCTGATAAAGTAAGGAATATGTTAGTCAACGATAACTATCGATTTTCTTGTTTTCTTATTTTTGTGTTGATATTTAAGAAAATCTTTAGCCAAGCGGCCATTTCAAGTTAGATGCAGCTTTGAACAAGTAAATTTAACACATCTATCCAGCATTGATTCTTATGATTTTAAGTAATTCTGGTAGACAAAAAGTCATAGAAGAGATATGAAGGTAGCTCCTCCGTACCTTGACATTATGGAGCTACATGCACTGTGTTCTGATATCTGCTGAGTGAATTATCGAACTTCAAATGGAGCAAGATAATGAGTGCTAATGGAAGGCATTACAAACGACTATGGACAGTACAGTGGCCGAACACGGATCCTTAATTATCGTGACCAGATGTGTCTGACTAAAACTGTCTGCGATAACCCACAAGCAACACTGAGGCTTAAATCAGGTTCACATTCAATACAGGAGGTACCAGATGCATATCAGAGCAAATCAGTTCAGCGTTCTTTATCTTCTATAGGATATGGAAGCAAAAGACTTACCAGGGTGTCATTGTTAACAACGCGACACTGGATACAGCGCTTCACTTGGGCTCGTGACATTGCTCTGGAAGACTGTTAATGTGTGGTATGGCTCGATGAATCGCATTCCCAGTTGTTTCGGGCTTATGACAATGTTCGTGTATAGTGCAGACTGTTGTATTATAGGTAACTCGATATGAGTTGTCCTCCTTTTGACCAGTCTTGTTAAAAAAAACGTTGTAAAAAATAAATTAAATAAAAATTAAAAATACTCCCAGCATGCAATAAAACTGTTCCTACGGACATCCTTCCAAAAAACATTTAATTCTATCTCTTCACCACTAACCTTGGTACGGGCAACATGTGTCTAACTTCTCTCTGTCATATGGCTTGTAATACTACGAAGAAAATTTCTTCCTTTTATCACATGTACCATAAAACTATTGTAACCTAAAATTCACGCACAGAAATATAAAGAAATTTATACAATTTACCATGCTTTCCTGTTATGTTGTGTACTTTTTATTTTCTGTCAAGTATGCTTTCATCTCCGTGAACGCGAAGGTAATTTCTGCTGATATGATGTGAGTAACCCCCCCCCCCACGACGTGCATAAGAAAAATAACCTGTTCACCCACAAATTTCAGTCAACCAGAATTGATGCTCCGAGGACCCCTAAGAGCCAAGAAGGAAGAAATACAAGTGACCTATCCCCTTCTCTGGGTAGGCGAAAAAGAAAAATAAATTTACGAAAGCTGAACCGATATGACACCGGACGAAATATACCGACTAGACTCACATTTTCAACGCTTCTGGAGTTACCCCACTTACTTTCCTAAAAAAAGGAAAATGCCACAAGGGGCGCCTTCTAGACCTATAAATACACTGTAATATTTTCTATCATTCTCTTTTTCCTATTTTCCTTGGTCTATCGTGAAAAAGCATTTCCAATTGGGAAACGCACACACAAACGTACACACACACACATATGTACACCTTTTGAATTGATAGGCGACACTATAAAAGTTACCGGAAGGCAATGTCAAAAAAAGGAAAAACTGAAAACGATGAACCGAAAGCACCTCGGTGTACTCGTTGTAGTTATTCACACAGTGAATGGTCGAATTGTCCTGCAAAAAGGAAACGTTGCTCGAAGTGTGGGAAATATAAACACTTCGCAAATATGTGTAAATCTATATATGCCTTAAAACTCCAGGAAGGGAGCGATACCAAACGAAATGAAGACAGCTAACAGTCGACGACCAGTTCATCGTGTATCACCCATCAAAAATGTAATCAAAGATGACCAAGCGTTCTGCACCCTACGCATAAAAGTGCGTCCGGAAGCGAAAGCAAAACTGACACTGTCTTCTGCGTGAGCAGCAAAACTTAGATTACCGCTAGCAAAACCAGACTGTTAGCATACGGAGGTCTGTCGATCAATACATTGGGGCACTGTTTATTAAAATGGACACAAAAACAATCTTCTCGATATAAATTGCCACATTATCGAAAATGGTTCGTCTGCCATATTAAGCTTGAGGCAAAGCCTAGACATTGAGCGAATCAAACTAATATATGAATGATAATCTAAACCCACACAGTACACCAGGACCATGTCCCAACCTGACCAGTCCCTTACCTCCCAAGGAAGCCGAACTAAAAATAAGATACTGTCTCCGATGGGATAGTGAAGTTCCAAGGAAAGTGCTCCATTCACGTTGACCCAAAGGTATCTCCGTTGTACACCCCTTGAAACTTGCTCCTAGCATCAGAGGCTTTCAGAAGACCTGGCACAAATGAAGGCATACGGCATCATTAAAAAGGCCAAAGGACTCACACATTGGGTGAATTCCCTGGTACTTGTGGAAACAAGGGGAGCAAGCTTAGAATTTAAACCTAAACAGAGCTATTCAAAGACCACATGACCATGAATTAAACTCGATATACGATTATGCGAACATTATCCGAAAATAATTGTTCGAAAAACATTTGTTCGAATTGTAAATTGTGAATGAAAATTAATCGAATTTGATAATTCTTCAAAATGCAAAATTCTTTATTGCAATAAAAATGTAAAAATTAAAAGAGGAAATACATAAATGATAATTATTTGAAATACAAATATCGTTAATAAAACAATTTAGTAAGAAAAAATCCTAATAACACTGAATTATATGATATTGCACGCAAATAGTCTACTACTGAAAAGTACTAATTCAAGGATGCCACTAATATTTTGAGCTTTCTATAGACGTTGCGGTATTTCCTGGCACTGTTGATATTTTGGCAAACTGCTCTTGCAATATGAATTTCTTGCAAGACCTGTTCTCTTTTAGGGGCGTCTAAGTATTTCCAAATTGTGAGATGATGGGATGATACTTGCTGCAAAAAAGCTCTATGCCATTGTTCAAGGGCTTTATTAGTTCTAGGTAAATCAGCATTGACTCTCTCAAAACAAGACCACACAAGTATTTCAAACATAGGTATTTCGAATACTATAATAATAGTATAGTTGTCCTTTCGATTAATTTTCATTTAAACAATTTACAATTCGAATAAATGTTTTTCGAATAATTGTTTTCGAACAATTTTCTTGATACGCGATATAAGGTGTAGATTTTGGACCATACCGCTAAACAGTAAGTCCTCATTGCTCATAACATTCAGAGGTATAAATACTTCTGCCTACCATAAGAGTTGAAATCGTCCAAAGGTGAATTCCAGAGGAAAATAGATTAATGTTTTGAAAACATCTCAGCCGTTGTTGCTCTGATAGACAGTATACTAATATATGGTAAAACCCGCATTGAACATGACCAGTCCCCGCCAAAGGTTCTAGAACGAGCAAGACAAGTAGGATTAAATTAAATAAAGAAAGACTACAGATCGCAGTCATTAGAGTCAAGTTCTTTAGCTCTGATGGGATTGAACCAAACCATGAAAAAATATTAGCGATATAAGATATGCCGGCCCCCAATAATAAAGCAAAATTACAAACCACTATCTACACCTTATATCGCGTATCAATTACAAACCATACTTGGGATGGTTAACTACTTATTGAAATTTGCTCCCAACCTATCCGAAGTCACAAGCCCCATGTGCCAACTATTAGGTAAGAACACACACTTCGCATGGGAGGAGCCTCAAGCAAATGCCTTTAAAAGGGTGAAGGATATACTGATCTCGAACCAGAATCAACCTCCTATATATTTCGACACTTTCAACCGGACAAATCTCCGAGTTGACGCTTCTAAACATAGCTTAGGTGACTCACTTCTACAACAGTGTAAGCCGATTGTCCACACATCGAATTGTTCGGGTGTACAAGATTTTTACACGCAATATGACAGTACAGATATTTGTAGTAACGAAACATAGATATGTAGTTAGTAAGAAGTACAGAAGAGCAACAAAATAATTAGAGAGAACAAAATATCTACATATGTGTGTAGTAACATATGTAGAAACAAAAAGAGTTCCTGTAGAGAAAAAATACTTCACTGAGCGATTTATAAGTCTAACCTGTTCAATGGTTTTAACTTACGGCTTGAACGTCCAACTCTGATGGATTGTTACCGTTTTTTTGTTACTGAGCTCTGTTGTTCAAACGCTTTCTTTTCACCTAGGTGTGCTGATGTTAGGCTAGGTACTACTTGCTGATTTTGATTTTGATCAACGTTGTCTGTGCCTGGTGACGGTGGAAACCATGAGGAGTCCTCATTTGAATGGCGCTTGTTTACATTTGTAACTCCTTTCTGTTCCGTTGAAAGAGGGCTCCTGTTTAAGTCTGAACTGTGAATCATCAGGGCGCTGCTTGTACTACGTCCGATTCATTCCATATGTTAGGAACAGGGCCTCGAATACGAACTGCCTCCCATTGGTTTAGCTTTTTAACCCTTGAATTTACCGTCAGTCGAAGTAATGTTTATGTCTGGCCCTTATTTGAATCTTTGCCTTCCATTTGGCACTCTTTTTTTGCTTATTTGTTGTGGGTAGGTTGCTTCTTAGTTTTCTACCCATCAACATTTATGTAGGTGACGATTCGTGATCGCCTGGCAGGCTGCGGTGGATTAAGAGTCCAAGTGATGCTCCCCCGCATTTCTGTAAAATGTTTATCACTGTTTTTCAGCGAGACCGTTTGCTTGTTGGTAATGTGGAAATGGCGATATGATTTTGAAGCCCTACTTTGTTGCAACTTGTTGGTATTCTGATAACATTAAGCATGGGCCATTGTGTGTGAATACTTCTGATGGAACTCCGAATCTGTTAAATCTGTGTTGCATAGCTTTAATCACAGCTCTACTGTTCTGCGACAGTATTTGATATGCATCGGGGTAATTGGAGTATGCATCCACTACAATGAGATAGTCCCTATTGTTGTGATGGCAAAAATCTGCTGCTACTGCTGCGTGAGTACTTCCTGGCGTAAGAGTGGCTATTTTGATTGTGCATCTCTATACGTTTGTCGAATGTCACAATTCTGGACGATATAATCGTCTTCATACCTTGTTTTTTCCGGAGTTATTCATTAGGTGTAGTCGGTTGCAGGAGTATTTTCCTAATATCGTCTATATGTTCTTTGGTGTTATAATAAAAGGAATTTTCTGGGATGTACCTTTTCTTTTAATTATTATGTCTCCTCTGCCTGCTACTGGAACTACGTCTCCTGTATATGACGTTAGTTTTATTTTGGGCTTGGTTTTCATTTTGTTTAAATAATTCAACGGTAGGGTGTTGACGTCGCTCCCTGTGTCAAGTTTTAGTGGCACTTTGATGCCTTGAAGTAGCAAGTTCACACTATACAATGAACTATATATAAATGACAACAGTCGTCTTCACTTCGAGCAGGCTCGTTTACAAAGTGTACGGTTTTCTTCGTTTGGCACATGTTTTTAAAATGCCCGACATTTAAGCACTTCCGACACGTCTGTTCTGTTGTCGGGCAAACTCTATCAACATGGCGATATCCACATCTGCCACATTCGCCGAACACTGTTTTTGCTCATGATCATACTTCGTCTTTTTGTAGTTGATGGTTAGTCCGTTTTTTCTGGATTTCTTTTAATAGTTCCTGCAGTTTTTCTTATACGAGGCACTTGAGTTTTTCTTATACGAGATCGTGCAGTTTTTCTCATGCGAGGTCGTGCAGATTTTCTTATACGAGGTCCGTCGGTTTTCTTAAACGAGGTCCATCGGTTTTTCTTATACGAGGTCCTGCAGTTTTTCTTATACAAGGTCCTTCAGTTTTTCTTATAAGACGTCCTGCAGCTTTTCTTATACGATGTCCTTCATTTTGTCTTATACGAGGATCGTCGGTTTTTCTTATACGAGGTCATGCAGTTTTTCGTGTACGAGGTCCTTCTTCAGTTTTTCTTATACGAGGCCCTTCAGACGTTCTTATACGAGGCCCTTCAGTTTTTCGTGTACGAGGTCCTTCTTCAGTTTTTCTTATACGAGGCCCTTCAGACGTTCTTATACGAGGCCCTTCAGTTTTTCTTATAGGAGGCACATCCCATTTTCTTATACGAAGCCCTTCATTTTTTCTTATATTAGGTCCTTCAGGTTTTCTTATACGTGGTCCTGCATTTTTCTCATGTGAGGAACTTCAGTTTTTTATACGAGGTCCTGCAGTTTTTCTTATACAAGGTCCTTCAGTTTTTCGTATACGAGGTTCTTCATTTTGTCTTATACGAGGTCCGTGGGTTTTTCTTATACGAGGTCCTTCAGTTTTTCATATACGAGATCCTTCAGTTTTCCTTATACGAGGCCCTTCAGTTATTCTAAGAAGTCCTGCTGTTTTTCTTTTACGAGGTCCTTCAGTATTTTTATGCAAGGTCCTCCAGTTTCTCTGATACGTGGCCATACGGTTTTTCTTATACGAAGCTCTTCAGTTTTTCTTATAAGAGGCCCTTCAGTTTTTCTTAAGCGAGGTCCTGCAGTTTTTTATACGAGCCCATTCATTCTTTCTTATGCGTGGTCCTTCAGGTTTTCTTATATGAAGCCCTTCAGTTTTTCTTATACGAAATCCTTCAATTTTCTTTCCGTGTCAGCCATAAACACATTGTCATCTGTGTATCTTATATTGTTAAGATTGTATATCTTATATTGTTAAGATGGTTAGTCCGTTTTTTTTTTCAATTTCTTTTACTAGGTCCTGCAGTTTTTTTTATATTAGGCCCTTCAGTTTTTCTTATACGAGTTATTTCATTTTTTCTTATACGAGGCACTTCAGTTTTTCTTATACGAGTTATTTCAGTTTTTCTCATATGAAGTCCTTCAGTTTTTCTTATACGTGGTCCTGCATTTTTTCTTATGCGAGGTGCTGCTAACATCTGGTTCCAGGTGCACTCAAGATGCCTCTGGACATGCGAAGTCCGGAAGGAGACAGAAGGAAACAGATTGATTACGTAACTATCAACAAAAGATTCAGAAACGCAGTCCTAAACTCCAAAGTTTACCCAAGTGCCGAATTCAGTGGCAACCATCTTCCAGAAACTAAAAACTAAACCAACGCCTAAACAGCAATCCGACAGATTCCTGAAGCACCCAAATTTCAAGGAGACACACAAAAACAGAGTTATAAACGAATATAACCTGAACGAGACTACAAAATCAAAGTGGCACATGTTGAAAGGAACATTCATGACGTCAGCGAATGAAATCATCCCAAGGAGAACATGACAAGAAAGGAATGAGTGGATGACTGACGTAACTCTAGAAATAATGAAAAAGCGACAACAAGCAATGGCAAAGAATAGAAAAGAATGTCGAACACTAAATACAGAAATAATAAACACAATGGTAAAGAGGAATGGTTCAATGAAAAGTGCGTAAGAATAGAAAACATGAGCAACACAAATACAGCAACTATGAACAACGGAATAAAAGAATTAACGGAATAAAATGTAAGTCAATCAAGAGGTTCTATAAAATCAAAGGCAGGACACCAGAAAAAGAAAGATACTCCAAAGATAGAACGAATACGTCAGAGAAGTTTTTCACAAAGCGAGAGAGAAACCTTACAATGCTTGAAAATACGGAAGGGTCAGAAATATTAAAATCTGAAGTCAGATCAGTATTGGAGAAGGAACAAAGCAGCAGGGCCGGATCGGATCGTGGCAGAATTGTTCTCAGTCTTAGACGATTTCGGCATCGACAAGATCACAAAAGTAATAAACGAAATATACAACGGTAGCGACATAATCCATGTTCTTAACATTACTTAAGAAACTATGTGCAAATGAATACGAGCTCCATCGGACAATCACATAAGAAAACTAATGAGGCGAATCCCGATGAATAGAACGCGAAGCGGAATTAAACGGGAAATAGGATGAGAACAGTGCGGTTTTGTCAAGGACACTGCAACAAGAAATGTCATATTCATGATATCAGAAAGAGCAATACAAAAATGATATTCATGTCATCAGAAAGAGCAACATCAAATATAGAAGGATATGCACTTAAATGTTATAGATTACGCAAAAGCATTTGACAAATTATGCCAAAATGCTATATTTGGAAAGGATGTTAGAATAATCCAGAACTGATACTGGGAGCCAACCTCTTGCATACAGATAGAAAATGGATTGAGTAGTTGACAAAAATAGAAATGAGTCTAAGACAAGATAATTCAACCTCTATAACGAGATTAACCTAAGAGAGCTGGAAACTTTACCCAGATTTATTATCCGAGGGCGCAATCTTAATATAAGATACGCAGATGCCAATGTGTTTATGGGTGACAAAGAAAACGAAGGACATCGTATGAGAAAAACTGAAGGGCTTCGTATAAGAAAAACTGAAGTACCTCGTATAAGAAAAAATGAAGGGCCTCGTATAAGAAAAACCGTATGGCCTCTTATAAGAGAAAATGGAGGACAATGTATAAGAAAAACTGAAGGGCTTCGTACACGAAAAGCTGCTGGAACTCGTATAAGAAAAACTGAAGGGCCTCGCATCAGAAAAACTGAAGGACTACGTATAAGCAAAAATGAAGTGCCTCGTATAATGCAGATATAAACAAATAATATATGTTTTTTTAATTGACTTTGTAAATTGGGTCGGCGAAAGTTCGTTCTGCTGGTTTACGAGTCAGATTTTAGTAGTAGTCGGGAGTGAAGTTACTTTGTCAGCATGTACGGCATCAATCTGTTGTGTTTTCTCTGACCTCAAATGGGCGGAAAATATCTTAAGCAGTCGACCTTTTAGTTTCTTCACGCGACACGCTCGGGCCGGTTTCTTTCCTATCGCTCTCTGTCGGCTGTCTCTTTATATACAAGTTTGAAAAGCTTCAGACTATTTACCACAAAGCTTGATTTCGGCTCACTTCTAATGTCTCTTTGTCTTCTTGAATGGCCTAAATTATTTTATTTTCCCGTGTTATTTTTTCTTTTATATAACAGAAGATATTTGTGTAGCCTCTCTTATTTTGGCAGATTACTAGTGGCAATGACGAGATCCTGGACGAGCAAACTTCCGTTTCGCAGCAGGTGTTCCAGTCTTTTCTTCTTCCTCCTCTTTTTATATGAGTTGCCTTCTCATTAGTTGAGAGAGAAGTATATATAGAGAAGGGTAGAGAGAGAGAGAGAGAGAGACAGACAGACAGAGACAGAGAACGAGAAAAAGAGATATCGGTGTTTAGGAAAAGCAAATGTCATAATTTAATTTTTTTCGTATTTCATTTTCATATTTTATTTTTTTACATTAGCTATGCTGCTTGTGCACCATCTTGACACAACACCGGAAAAGGACGAAGAAGACACACAATTGGTGAACGCTGTTGATGCAAGTAAAAAATCGCAAAAATGCCAAAATGTATCTTGCTGCTGGACAAAAAGGAAGTGGTTTTGACACAGGAGCAAATCTAAACATGCTCCTGGCAAGGTTTGTTACAGAAGTGAGCCCCTATAATGGAGTCTTGTCAATGTGGAACAAAACACAAGTAAAACCATTAGCAGTTTGTTGACGAATAATAAAAAAATTCGAAGACACGCCACAGATGAAGATCGTTGCCGACCATAGATTGGGTTCCGATCGAATTTAGATGGGCTACGTGAAGATACGATACAGAAATTTTCACTATATTCAGGTAGTTACCCTCAATGACGAGTTTAAATAGGTGTTTGAAAATAAGCTTGGGGAGCTACCAAATGTAGCAACACTGCATTTAAGGCCTAACGACATCCCATTTGTGATTCCCAACAAAAGAGTGCCTATTTCTGTGTTTCTTCAAAGAAGAATTGAGGCGATTAACCAAGCTAAGAGTTATTAAAACAGTGAATAGACCCACCCCGTTTTCTCCTCACCAAAAAGAAAAATGACACACTCAGAATATGCTTGATCCCCAGTAAACTGAAGAAAGCACTTATGCGAGAACAATTCACAATACCTATTCTGGATGACAAGCTCTATTAGATGCCAAGATATTTACGATAGCTGACATGTCCTAAGTTCAAATCATTCGCCATGTTCGTTTCAGGATCATAATCTGAACTTGACAACTATTTCGCCTTCTCGTTCTTTTCTGACCTTGGCATTCAGGTCTCCATCAAACAAGAGATAAACTTTTACAACTCTCTGGACAACGCCAAGGCCCTGTGTAAATTACATGTTTTTAATCTGGCCATATTTGGTGTAGCGTTCTTATGTTCTAGGTGCTGATTACTATGTTTGCTTGTTTTGAACAGTCACTGGATGACAGTCAGATATGTCTTCCTTTACCCGGTGATGAGATATCTCCAGTGGATTTTACCCACTTCACGTTCTAATACTTACGTTTGTCATCGCCATGGTTATTCTTGGGATCGGTAGTGGAATGGTTACCCGTTGCCTTCTTCACAGTGTTTTTCAGACACCGACTCTTTTTAGCTGGTCATTGACTCATTTAGAATTTTTTTTCGCCATTCGGTAGGTCTTATTTTTCAGCCTCCAGAGTTTAGTCGATAACCATTCGATAGGTTTCCTTTTGAAAAAAAAAAATAAAAATAAAAAAAAATAACTCTTTACTTCCAGGCCAAGGTGGGGTTAATGAAAACTCTTTGAAGGTAAGAGGGATGGAATTTTCAGGGATTTAACTGTAGTTTACACGATAGAAGTGTACATGATTCTAGTAAATATTTAGGTAACAATGATACATTAAGTTTTAACTTGTAAATGTTTTGTTAACTCTAAGGAATTGAAAGAGAAAAGCAAACAATGATATTACCTGTAAGTTTTTTCTTCTTACAAGAAAAAATTTGATGTGCTAAAATTGAAGACAAAAGATGAACAGACATATCGGATTAGTAAAATAAATTCTAGAACAAATAGTACAAATTACCTCTAAAACAGGAAATTCAGCAGAGCTATTATGAAGAATCTGACCTTTTCTATTGCTACACCTGCTTAAGATAGTTTCTCCTCTTTCCATTTACTTTTTTCTCTTTTTATTCCCCTAATTCTCCAGTATAAAAGAATAAATTAAATCTAAGTGAAAGCGGTGGGGTCCCAAGTGTAAGATTAACTCCGGGTATATGTATTTAGGTAGGGTTACTTAGGGAACTGCCAATACATTATTGACCATTAAGTTTTAACTTAGTATAAGCTGCGATATCTCCTATCAAAGTAAAATAGAGTGGTTAATTAAACTACCCATATTTCCACAAAAATATTCCCCCCCCCCTTAAGCACTTGAAAAGGGATCCCACCAAACCAATTTAGGATTGGTCCGAAAATAAGAAAAAAAGAACTAAATGGAATAGATAAAAACAAGAAAAAGTTCGGATATCTACCTGGAGTCATTGGGCACATAAACCCAAATTAAATGAAATACCTTATACTTTATGGTAATATCCATGACACAAAGTCTATC